GGGTGTGCGTTCCCGCGAGGGTTCCGAGATCCCCAGAAGCGGTGATGCGAACGTGCGTGCCTTTCCGCCTTTAGTTCTTCAGAAAGCTAGGACTGGCTATTTCTGTGGCAAAGCAGCACCTGCAAGGACAGGAGTGCTTCTCTGTCCATGGCTTTACTGGAGCTCTTTTCAAAGAATACTTGCATAGAGCACTGTGAGATTTGATTTATTCCTGTTTTCTAAATTGCAAAACTGAAGCGCTAAAAATCCCTACAACTTACGGTTAGGTCAAGTTAAATTCATATACTGCTAAAAAGTGGAAGTAGGTTGTCTGAAGCTTGATGGCCATTTTACTGTTTTATGTGCTGGCACCATTCTGTCCGAAAGGTTTCTATACAGTTTCCTGGCCTTGATTATTGGCCAGTTTACCTGAGTGTGGTGGTTGGGGGGCTGCCAGACCTCCAGCCAGCCACTCTCTCACTCCTTCCTCACCAGGACAGGGCGAGAAAATATGATGAAAAAACTCGTGGGTTGAGATAAAGACATGGAGATCACTTACAAATTGCCATTACAGGCAAAACAGATGCAACTTAGAAAAAATTAATTTGCTTTATTGTTAATTTAAAAAATTCAAGTAGAATAGTGAGAAAAAAAAAGAATAAGACACCTTTCCACCCTCCCCCCTTCTTTCCCAGGCTCTACCTCCTCTGCCCCCCAGGCAGTGCAGGAGGATGGGGAGTGGGGGGTTGTGGACAGGACATAACAGCTCCTCTCTGCTGCTCCTTCCACCTCACACTCTTCCCCTGCTCCAGCTTGGGGTCCCTGCCATGGGATACAGTCCTTCGTGAACTGTTCCAGCAGGGGTCCTTCCCACGGGCTGCAGTTGTTCATGGACTGCAGCAGTGTGGGTCTCCTCCATGGCCTGCAGTCCTTCAGGATAAACCTGCTCCAGCATGGGCTCCTCTCCACGGGCTGCAGATCCTGCCGGAGAACCTGCTCCTGTGTGGGCTCTCCACAGGCTGCAGCTCCCTTCAGGGCACCTCCACCTGCTGTGGCATGGGTTCCCCCACGGGCTGCAGGTGGGTATCTTCTCCGCTGTGGTCCTCCATGGGCTGCAGGGGGACAGCCTGCCTCACCATGGTCTCTTCCATGGGAATCTCTGCTCAGTTGCCTGGAGCACCTGCCCCCCTCCTTCTTCTCTCACCTTGATGTCTGCAGGGATGTTTCTCACACTTTTTTCCCCTCACTCCTCTAGCTCACACTGCTGTACAGCCTTTTCTGTCCTTTCTTAAGTTTTCCCAGACGTGATACTGTCTTGGCTCTGGGGCTCAGCTGTGCTCTGCAGTGGGTCCATTGGAATCAGCTGTGTCCAGCGCAGGGCAGCCCCGGCCTCTCCTCACAGGTACTCCCCTTGAAGCCCCCCACCACCAGCACCTGGACACATAAACTTGTACACTAGGATACTGTTGTGATTAAAGACTTAAAAGTTAGTGTAAATAATTTTCAAAAGAGATACTGTAAAAATTTTGTGTAGTCAGTCTCTTTCTACAGTGTTTAGATCAAAGATAAATCTCTATTTTCTTTTATATATGCAGGTAGTTATTCGACGGCTTCCTCCTTGTCTAACTAAGGAGCAACTGGAGGAACAGCTACATCCTCTACCTGCTCATGATTATTTTGAGTTTTGCACTGCTGATCCCAGGTGAGGATGAGCTAGCTGTGTAGGTTTTCTGGTGCTTAAAACCTAATTAAGGTATTTTAGACATACCAAATCACATTCTTTTTCCTTTTTGTTAGTTACTTAAAATATTTATGAAAAGCAGAGATTTTTTTTGCCCTTTTCTTTTACGATCATGATTTTAAACCAGAAATTTTTTGAATATGAATGGGGCATAATTTCATTTGAAACCCTGATATTTATTTTAACCTTTACTGGTGAAAGGCAACAGACTCTTTATCATCTGTGAGAAATATTAAACCTAGGGCAAATATCACAGAAGTTTTTTCATGAGTGCCATTTGAGCTTAGTTTATTTGTTTGCTTACAAATGTTTTTGTATTTATTTAATACAATTTTTCAAATCCATTTTTATTCACTTTTGTCTCGTGCAAACTGAAAAAGAAAAATAAATAGTGGTTTATTTAAATCAGAATTGCTGGTATAGTTATATAATTTACTCGGTATCAAAGTGGTAAAATATGATTCCCTTTTGGAAAAACAAGAAGAGAGGAACTTAACCATTAAACAAAATACTGTGTATGCTACATCTGCATGTGTTCTGAGAAATCGAAGTATAAGATCCATCTTGCCCATCTTAGGCTGTCTTAGTGTGCAATTAATCACCATCCACAAGCACAAGATTCTTTCCATTGACTGCAGAGGTATCCTGGATATTTGTTGCTGACCAACTTTTAAAATTACAATTCTAATTTTCCAGAACAATTGTTGGCATAACAATTTAGGAAATCATCCATCTTAGAAAAAGAGAAGGCACAGACAACAGTTGTACATATAAAATTTCATTTTCTCTGTACCATTATGTGATGAAATTTGGAGTGCTCAAAAATCTTGCTGTCCACTCATTTAATTGCGTCAATGTCAGGGTACTGATGAAAGATATTGTGTTTTTTCTCCTATTCTGTGTTATTACTTTCCTATAGCTAGGGACAGAACATATGCATATATAAAAAAGTTTGTTAGATCACTTATATGACACGGTAGTTCATTCTGGTAGAGGGATAAGGACATGCTTAAAACACTCTAAAGATTTGTTTCCCTTGAAGAGCAGATCTTGGTGATTAAAAATAACAAAAAGCGTGAAGAAAATAAAGCTGTATTTCTTATATTGTTTTGCTGCTAGACTTCAAGATGCAGCAAGCAAAGAATGCACCTTTTGAAACTTCTTTTTGAACAATGAAATCTCTGATACGTGTTACTTGGATTGTCAGTTTCCTTGAATCCTGTGTTTGAGCCCTGTAATAAAATAATGATCTGGGAGAAAAATGTTCTCTTCCTCCTGAGTTTTGGATTCATGTTCTCTTCTGCCGTCACAAATTTAAACTCTGTAGAAAAAAGTGTTTTCATGTAAGTTTGAATTTTTCAGCATGAACTGTTTCATATTCCCTTTGAGGTTTTTTTGCCTCATCTTGCTGCTTAAAAATTATGCTTTCATACAGAAGATGTATTTTTTCAGAGCGGGTTTGTTTTTACAAGGTTTGTATGGCTACAGCTTCTTTCACCAAACTACCCAGTTAAAAGGGCATTTAGCTGCAGTTCTGCAGAGTATTTGTTGGATTATTTGTTTGTTCTTTGACTGACCCAGGATCACCTTGTCCGGGTCTCCCCCTTTGTTTGAATGCTGACACATACCCATGTACATCTATGATTTAACTCTTTACATGTTCACACACTCTAGAATATACAGTAAACTTTCAGAAATTGTAAATTAGAGACAAGATTAATACAGTGAGTCCTAGTCTCCTCTTATCCATCGGAGAACTCTTTTCTGAGTATAAAGCATTGTGTTGCAATGATCTGTCATGTTATGGACAGTTAATAAAATTTCAGGAAACTCTGTGGATGTGTCTTCATGCTATTCTGGCTGACAGAAGGAGCTACAGGACAAGACAGGCATGTTCTCTCTACAGTCCCCTTTGTCTTTCACTGATGAGCTTTTTTCTAGATCCTGTACCGTGTGCATGGTACACCTAGAGAATTCAGTGATAAAGAAAACATGGGGAAGATTAACAGCAAAGTTCACGTTACCTAAGCAGAGACTGATGTAGAGAAGCTACTTGGTGAAGAGGATCTGTTTGTTGGAAAGAGAAAGGGGCGTACAAATGTTTTGATGCAGAAGGAGGCAAATTTACAGTAAGAGCTGTAACATCTCACTTTAACCCCATACTGTGTAACTCTAGATGACAGAAGTTTCTAAGAGCTCATTCAGATTTCTTCAGTTGTGGAGTGCAGACTTTTTTTTTTTTTCCCCATGCAACACTATTAAACCATAGAGCTCCTTGTCAGAAATAGGTGTCAGAAATGATGGAGGTTGAAAATGGTTCAGGAGCAATTAGACAAATACTTATTTAGATGAATAGTTATCTCTGAAAACCTATTAAACACAAGGATGCAAGTTCTGTATTATTAATTCCTTAGGCTGCAAGGAGCTGAAGTGATGTAGTAGGTAAAGTGTCAGTATATAGTTTCCCCTTTTTAATAAATTTTCTCTAAGCATCCTCTACCAGTTGCTGTGGGAGAGAGGTCTCACTATGGCTGTTTGTACATTTTGATTTCGAAGGTCATCTGACCCTAGAGGACAAAACCAACAGTTGCAGCCCTACCTCTATGCTTTTGCAAGATGCAAATTATCAACTCCAGATTCACTGTTTTTGCAGTCTAAAGGATATTTTTAAATTTACAATGTCTTGTTATTACAGGCAAGCTATAGAACTTTAAAAATTAATTTGATTAAGTAATGTCATTAATGTATAATGCTTTTCCAGTTACATCCATTTCAGTAAAATAATTTCAGAAAGTGACTGTTGCATTGTGTGTCATTAATTTTTTCAGATTCATCTGATTCACTGCGTTACATTTCGTCTCTCTTGTACATTGACATCCAAATACAAAGTACTGTTTCTGTGACTTTAGGGATGTGTGTTGGGTAGAGACATTATTATTGCTGATAATAGAGACTCTGCCTTCCTACCGGTCTATCTTGTTCCCAGACTCCATATATGAACTTTGTTTCCTGCCAGATACTATTTTTTTTTTTTTGCATGTCAATGTTTCTGAGTCTTCTAAAACTTGTCTCAAGTGATTGAGCTCTGCACTGCAGGATTTTGGTTATTCCTCAGGACTGGCACTGAACACTAGGACTTGTCAATAGTGTTGTAAGGTTACAAAAGTAGAGAGATGCAAACAGGAGCTTTGCTTATGTGAAAGCCAGGGAGGTAGTCAATGCCATGCCGTATATCACAGACAGCAATTAAGCTTCATGTGAACTGCACTTCTTTGCCCTCCATTACTGCTTCCTGATATTTTGCTCAGGACTATTGCAGGCAAATAGCATTAACGCTGTAGGATGGCAGTATGCACCCAGGAACTGCAGCGCTGAAGGGGCAGCACCTTTAGAGCTTCAGCAGAACCGCCACTACTGTGTTCTAGATGGAATGAGCGACAGTCTGTCATCACACATGCGTAGTCTTTCTGCTTTTCTGTGGCCAGGCAAATTGTACTCATTTATATCTGTAAAAAGAATTTGAATTTATACCAGTTCCATACACTTTGTGAGTGACCACAGAAGGTGAGAGTCAACAGGGTGAAGCCAGTGGATTTTAGCTTGACATGACATTGTAGATGATTAGTTTGATCAGAAATTATGTAATATATGAATGGATGGAGGTATTTATTTAACACTCCCAAAATTCAGATGTAGAGATCTACATATATATGTAAGCATTTATGTTTATACATCTATAAACACCGTGACTGGTAAGTTGGTAGGTGGTTTTACTAGATGTGATGGCTGTTCTTATAGTTTACATGTTGCTGTGTATATTGTAGATAACTATTTAAAATCGCTTTCCTGTATACCAGTCTTTTTACATAATTGTTTTAAAAGATACCTTGTAGAAGAAGTAAACTATTAGAATGTGTTTGTTATTAAAATTGCTGTAAAAGTAAGGGTTTACAGAGATAGTCTAAATGTTATGGAAATAACACAGAACCTAAAAGACTGAATACCCTTGAACACACAGCAGAAAACAAAGAAACTGTGTTGTACTGAAGAAATGCGTATAGTCAGACTCATCTGGGTTATTTCCACAGAGATTGCTCTAAGTGATATTGCAGAGATGCCAACATCATGTGCAGTGCATCTGTCCAAAACATGATATGGGTGGAAAGCAGCATTATAGGCAGCAAACATATGGCAAAATAGAACCAGCTGTCTGATTATAAAACTAACCATGCAACCTCAAAATGGAATTTCAAATCTTGAATGAAATCTGTGCTGGTAGACATTTGAAAAAAAGGAGGCTCACAGGATCCAGTGGCCTTTCTGTAGGACTCATCTGGGAGGCAAAACCCTGAAAAGCAAAAGCTGTATTTTATCCAATAACTGCTGAATATAAAGTAGGAAAGAAGAGCAGGAGTGTTTCTTCCTGGGAGAGAGTATTAGCCACAGAGTCCCCGTGGCCCCGTGAAGCCCTGGGCATTCTTTGCTGCGCTGCCACGCTGGTGGGTTTTCAGTGGATAGGCGAAGAGGGAATGCAGGGTGGGTGGAGGTGTGGGAGCTGCGGTTGGAAGTCAGGTATCTGCAACCCAGAGTAAGAGACAATGTTTCATATGCAGGCCAGTGCTTAGCAGTTCTGAGTTGCTGCATTGAGTTAGCTTCCCATTTAGGGATTTTTATTTTTTTAGGCCCTGGACTCTTTATTGGATAAAAAGCCAAGAGGTCTGAAACACTTGGCGATTAGGCTTTCATGCACTAAGCACTCCGACATACTCATATGGTTCTCATATGAGAACCAACTTTTTATTTGTAAAAGTGGCTCCATCAGAGAAGGAACCTGAAATTGCTAAGCATGGTCACAGCTCTGTTTCTACAACTTTCTACCCTGATACAAAGCAACAATAATGGACAGACAATCCTATTTTTTTGGGCTATTGTGCACATCAGTATCCTACTGTGCACAGAAATGCTTTAATATTTTCATATGTTTGCTGATGCGAATGAAGTTCTTGAAGATGTTAATAATGTATAGCAACAACATTGGATCCCTTAATTTGCAAAGTCAATTCTAAACCTCTGGTTTCCAGAGTTCTGTTTATACATGTCAGACTCAATTTTTTCTTACTAACAAATGCTTAGTAACTATATAAAATGTTTCTCTGTTTAAAAGGTACTCACTCTGGTAAGCCTAAACTGAAAATGCTAGAAAAATATTACGTTCTGTACCTGGAAAAGATTGTGTTGCCAAAGCAGATAAAACAGATGGCGTTGATGTACAAGCTAAAGGAAATAAGGAAGGAATAAGTCTTTGTATTTTCGGCTCTGTTTCACAATGGTTATGTGCCCAACCATAAGGTTCTGAGTTACTGCAGAAAAAAAGATCCGACTGTATGATGAGGCTGTTTGCTGTGAACTGAGACAAAGAAGAAATGCCACTTCTCTGAGCCCCAGTCTTTGATCTACGGAAAATTTTAGTATTTTACAGAAACTGAAGATGAAGAAAACACTGAAATAGTTATTTAGACTAGGAACTGAAACTCAGTTTCTCAATCTCAGATAATAATAACTGGGCTGAAAAATAATGCTCCCTCCAGATTCCTGGTTTTGTGTCGTGAATCTTCAGCACTTCAAGTGCATAATCATATCAATCTCTAATATGAGGCCTCATCTGATTTAAACATCAAAGAACATGCAACATAGGAATAGTCCTCTTAACAGGACAGAGAAGGAAGTTTATTTTTTCCTGGGAGCTACCAGTTATCAAAGAGACTTCTTCCCTGTTCCAGCCATTAGGCAGTACAGAAGCTTTTCTTCCAGCACAGCTATGGAGTGCTACAATTCACTTGTAGGCCTTTTAAAGATCTGTTTTGTAACTGTATGCAATAGTGGAAAGTGTTGCATTTAATGTTTTGTTTTTTTTTTTTTCCTTTGAAATTGATGAGATGGAAGCTGGCTTGTTTCCTCTGCTTTGCATCTTGGTAGTAACTCCACAGCCACTCTCAAGATACGTGGCATGTGCAGACTGGAGGTTTGCGAATCTGATCAGAGAGGACTCTGCAGGCTTTGCAGAACCCCTTGACAAAACACAGCCATATGCCACCATGCTCGTTTGGTCAAGCTGTCTAGAGGTTGCTTCCCAGTGGTCCATAACTGTGTGGCATCAGCGTAGGCTCTGGCAGATGAGGGAGCGTGCTATGCCTGTGGCATTTTTCAGCACTGCTTTGTGTCAGCAGCATAGCCCTAGCCATGCCCTAGCAGGCATTTTTGTGGCTACCTGCTTACAGTTGACTCAATGCTATTCCCATCCAAGAATGTCAAAATGTAGTGAGTATGTATGGATGAAATAGCTATTCCTTAGAATTAGAAGGTTTGTCCTCTGCATGCTGTAGAAATGCTCCGTAGTGGTATTTGCAAAACATCTGAATGAAAAAAGCCCTTTCGTTTTTTTGTTAAACATTCCTCCTGGCTACAATATCAAACATTAATTGTGGGTTTACAAAATCATTGGTTAGTTGTTGACAGCACTGCTCCTTATGCTCGCCTTCTAACACCCAAAGTGGGATCCATATGGATGGACATTCAAAAAAGAAAAAAATAACTTGATTTGTAGTAACTGTTGCTTTCAGCTGCCACATGTGTGGATCCTGCGATCCAACCCGTATTTTTGCTCTTTCTCATTCATTGTGAAATCTGATTCTGAAATTGCTGCAGGATTGAAATATGGTTCCAGCTGTGTGTGTCTGTTGTCTCCTGCTGCTGGTGATGAGTTTGCCTGAAGCCAGGTCGTGTGTGGCAATAGTATTATGAACACAGGTATTTTAAAGTTATGGGCTTGTGTTCAGATATGTTCAAAAACCTGGTGTAATATAGAGCCATAATTGAAGGCAGTTTAAGACAAACTGGTTTATATCACAGTTGCAGGGGTTTAAAGGATGTACGTGCCATGACTTCCAATAACTTAGCTGATGGGTGGTAATTCATTAAATTACCTGAGTTTCCTTGTGGTTGGTGGTGTGCCAGCCCTGAGGTTTTTATCAGGTAGATTAAACATTAGCCCTTAGAGCGAGATCTATGCCAATAAATTATTGAAGAATCAGAATTAGTTTAGGTAAGTACCTGTTCTTTCTTTTGCTAGAAATGCTTTGGATTTTCAGAATGATTGTTCTTCACAACTAGACATTGCATATATATTGATATACATGTGTGTCAGATGGAGTTTGTTTATTTGTATATAATTCAGTGGATTGTCTTGCCATTTATTATGTTATTTAATCTTTCGTAAACATGGAAATCTCTGTAAATACAGTGACAGCTTGGCAACTGCCTTTTCACTGGGAGCTTTTACTTACCTTCTTCTGTTCAGCGGCAGAAGACTTTTTTAGCTTGTCCAAGAAGTTTCACAAAAGCACTGCTGTTATTCATATCTCTTAAGTAATGAAATATTAGACTTAAAGCTTTGATCCTGCACAATGGAAACATATGGTCTGTGATTAGGGAGACAAAACAAACCAGAAATACTTGTCTCAGTTCAGAATAAATTTCACAGTTGCATCCAGGAACTCATTTGTTCAGTTACTTTTTGTCATTTATATAATTAAGATATGTACATGTAAAGACTTCAATATGCATGTTTAAGGTATCTGTTTCCCAAAGAACATGAGAATTGCAGTGTGATCCTTCTCATTTTACTTTTTTTATAGTCCTGAACAGAATAGTAAATAACAGAAAATAAAATTGTTTCTTGTTGCAGCCTTTATCCTCATCTCTACTCAAGAGCATACATTAACTTTAGAAATCCTGAGGACATCCTTCTTTTTAGAGATCGCTTTGATGGCTATGTCTTCATTGATAATAAAGGTTGGACTATTTGTAAGATACTGTGTGCATATATACATATACCATTTTAGAACATTAATTTACTTTTTGCTAGTTATGACAGTTTTTTTCTCAATATACAGTTAATTACATAAAATAATTAAAATCTAGCACTTAAAAGATAATGAAGTACAAAATATATTTGTCCAGGCAATCTTGTTTGTCTGTGTGGTGTGTGTGCTCCATCTGTGTTCTTGGCAATACACTATCAAGATCCTATTAAGATAATTGTCTTATGCAAGCTTCACAATTCATCACAACACATTGCAAGCATGAATCATTACATCCTCAGTGTGTTTCTGTGAGATAAAGTTGTGCCACTTATTCCCATTTTGAAAAAGCAAGACAAAAACTTGACTTCATCATTTTGGTTGCCCACTTTGAGATATGTACAGCTTGACTTTTTAGAGCATTTGCAGACGTCTTCAGTTGAGTTCCCAGAAAAAGAGTGACAAAATTGGTTGCCATCTTTAAAATGTTCAGTCTGCAAAAGTTTTCCCAACAGCAAAGAAGAACTCTGTAATGTAGGCGTGGATAAATCCAGGTCTCCTACAGTAGCCTGGAACAGCCATAGCCAAGAAATGGTGCTTTCACTTTATCAGTTCCTTGCCTCATTCACTCATACCTTCTGTAAAAAATTGCATGGGTTGTTTAGAACAGGCATAGATTTGTGGGTTTCTTGTATAGGTGTCTGTTCTGTGCACTCAGTGTTGTGGATGTCTTGTGAAAAGTAGTCCTGCCCACTCTTACTGGAGAGTTGATCTCTAAGGAAGCTGTCTGTCAGACTAACAAATTCCTCTTCAGCATTACCTACCTGAGATATTTTGTAGGCTTCTAGTTTAGATTTGGATGGATTTTTGTAGAGATGGAGAACAACACATTCCTCACGGTGTGCAATTCCCAGATTTCAAATTCTGGGTGTTCTAGATGGAAAACTAGAAAGAAACTATTTTTAGGATTCTCTCAAGACTCCACTTTGTCTAAACTAAGCACGTTCTTCAGCTGGACTGAAGCCAGAATATTCTGTACATTGCAAAACTGAGCTTGTACACAGCTGCCCAATTTGGCATAATTGTTTGTGCAAATAAAGAGCACAAGTTGATCGAAGGTACCCTCTGGTGATGCTTGTGGTGGCACTGCATTTACAAGGCTAATATTAAAACAAGGATTACCAGGTTCAATAAGGTTAACAAATATTCTAGCAAATTTAAGCCAAGTTTTCAGTGGACTTGAGCAAAGTGTAATGTTGAACCTGCTGCAAGTGGAAACCAGGTGAAATTCAAAAACTACACACAGTTCTGATGCCAGTCCAAGGAAGAATCCAGTATTTAAGGCAGAATTCAAAACAAAGGATCCATGCCAGTAAACACAGGCAAGAAGTTGTGTAATTGCAAGCAAAAAACCCAGAGGTTTCACACAATTCTACATGAGGAGTTTTACAGTTTTGATTCTGAAAGAAAATGGTATGTTGTATCATTGCATGGTACTCAGCATTAATTTATTTTTTAAGCTTTTTGGTAACAAAATTTTACAGAAGGAACTCAATTGTTTCAGATTCATTTCCCAGTAGTACTTATTCAGTTGTCAGGCTGAGATTTTATGTAAATTTTTCTGATTAATGAGCATCTATGAAGAATTAAAAGGGAATGATAAATGATAATGCAAGAATTTTATTGTGCAACAGTAGTCCTCTTCAGTTCAACATGTCCAAAAAGTATTTTATGTCTATGTATATAATTAAAATATAAATGTATTTTGTTTTGACTAGAATACTGCTACATGTAATTTTTCATTAGAAGTTTAGAATGGGATTGTAGAAACATTCACCTTTGATTTCAAGTAAGACTGCCCAACACAAGCTTCAAGAATTTTGAAAATCTTACGTGAATGTAAGGAAAGTTTCTCCCCCCTCAGAAAATTAAGTATTGATCTCTTTTAAGGTTTGGAGTATCCCGCAGTGGTTGAATTTGCACCATTCCAGAAGATTTCAAAAAAGAAGCTGAAGAAGAAAGATGCCAAAGCTGGGAGCATTGAAGATGGTAAACACATTTTCTTGGCTTCACAGTGGAAACTAGATTCCATTTATGTCATGCATTGCAAAGTATTGACATAATTCAAAATTTTTTTTTCACAGATCCAGAATATAGGAAATTTTTAGAGAGTTATTGTGCTGATGAAGAGAAAATCTGTGCCAATCCTGAGATTCTTTTGGGAGAGATTGAGGCCAAGACAAGAGAACTCATTGGTCTGTTTTCTTGATTTTTCTTATTATTGAGAATATTAAATATCTTTTATATCTTTATGATATTACCTGCAAGAGCTGACCTGTTCAGTCTAACAGAGATTGAGATTACCATAGTTAGATTTTTGTTATCCAGCCAGGTAGTGACAGGAGACACCCCACCTGTTCTTTTAAGTCTCCATGTATGAAATCACTTGACTTCACTGGAAGTTTTGCATGCACAGTGGCTTCAGAAATAGGTCCTTAATATTTCTGAATACTTACAGATGTATTAAATGATGGAAGATTTATTTTTAAAAGATAAAATAGCTGAATACTTAACAATTGATCCCTGGTATTTGCTGCTTTTATTGAGAAACATGATCTCTCTGTGTTCTCACAGTCAAGATTCTGCAAAAGCTTTGAAAGTAAGGCAATACTTGGTTTTCTGTGTGCATGCAGCATGACTTTCACAGTCTCTGGGGGAATCTTTAGTAAAACCAACATTGAAACCTTCAGTGCCAGTATGCAGTTTTCAGGATGACATGGAATATTGATGTGCTGTATCTCCAAGTGACAACATGCAGAACACTTAATCTTTCCTAGTTGTGACAATCTAGTAGGAAAAAAAAATCACCTTTGCTGTTATTTCTTTACAGTGTAAAAGTAGCCACCTCTTTTGATTAATGCTGTTTGTCCCTGCCTGTGACAAGTATTTCTATAGAGTAGCATTAATTATTCTTCATGTGCTTAAATTAATAGTTGACTGGTGAGATTCAGAATTTGGGAAATTGAAATGTTAGAAGTATGGACATTTAGAAAATTCTGTTACCAATAACATTTGTTTATTGCTCTTCTAGATAGGGAACTTCACCATCAATTTTTATGTACCCCAAATCTTCCCTAGTATTTGACAGCAGAGTAAAAGCAGTCAAAATTTTCTAAGAAAGCTTACAATTTCAAGAAAGATTTATTAACTTTAAAGTATTCTATCAGTGAAAATGGTTAGTCTTGAGACTTGCAGATTTCAGAGTAACAATGTTGGCTGAAGGCAGCTTTACATTAGGAGTTTTAATGTTTTGTTTCTGTTAAAGCACAGGAAATCAAATTAGTTGCTATATTTTTTCTGCTATTCAAAACCGTGACCATTGCTATCAATATAAAAATGAAGATCACTTCAGTGGATGGCATGCGTATAGTAAAAGTATGTAAGGGTTTAGTTGCATGTCCAGTTTCAAAGGTGTTACTCCAGCTGAAATGAATGAAAGATGTGCCCAGGACTTTGTTGGCATAATTGGGCCTCACATTCTCAGCATTTCTCCAGGTAGTGTTACTGCAAACCAACATGTTTCATGCATCACCTCAGATGTGTTAGCTCATCAGTTTCAGTGTGACAGAGAGATATAAAACAGATTTTCTCAGTAACAAGATGAAGGTAAGCTCATTCTTCTGGCTTGTTTGTAGAGAGCAAGATAAAATATGTAAGTTACACTCTTCATTTTGTAATTTATTTTCTTTTAAAATTTCTTAAACATCTTAAAAAGAACTTCTAAGATTTTTATTTACAGTAAGACCCATAAATAAGATGGGTAAAATTCAAGTTTGACAAACATTCCTTTTTGCCCTCCTCTTTTGATAGTACTCATCACATTGCCTCTCTTCCTTTAACTTCAAGTTATTATTTCTGATTAAACCTCTTGCACCACAGGATTAGTCATGACTAGAGTCAAGTTCTGGACTTCCCGTGCAACTTATCCTTTTCCTAGACCCTCCAGTTACATTTTATGGGCACTTCCAGTATGTAAAAGTGCCCAGAGGCAAACCTTGCTCAGACAGGCAAGTTATGGGAGCAGAAGAGAGTCAGAGCTGCAGATCTGAGGGTCTGGTAGGGAGGGTGCTGGAGACCTAAAATCTGTCAAAAAGTAGGAGGGCGGGGAGCGGCAGGGGAGAAGAGAGAGAGGGGCAGCATGGGAAATCTAAGGATAGAGGAAGGAAGATCTCAAATCAACAGGGTTTTTTTGTTGTTGCTTTTGATCAGTAATATTTGCTAAAAATAAATATTGAATCTTATCAAGTCTTCCCATTCATAGCTGTGTAACAAGGTTTTATCATTAACAAATGGGTTGCTAGCAAGATACTTGGATTGTCAAGACAAAAACACTCAGTTGTTTTTGGGATATGACCTGTGTCTAGGTTTTGGCTATGCCATTTTAAATTTAATGATTTTTTTTTCTTTTATTGTTTCTTCTAAATACTGTAATGCATTCTAATAGTGAAATTTTCTTCTGGTTTGACAGAAAGTCCTATAAATAATTGTAAATTCTTCCTAGTAGTAAATATTTTCTGTAACTCTATCCTGGGGCATCTAAGACTGACAGAATTTGTTATAACTACTCACAGCTAGTAGTACATGGGGTACATGAAGTTTAAATTCAGTACTGACAGTCATGAATGCTATACATGATATGGAATTCAATTGTGGTTTCCAAGTTTTTGTAGAATTTGGAGATGGTTCAGGCAAGTGGCTTAGGCTAGATTCCAGGTTGTGGAGACAGCTCTGTAACATAAGAATGGCTGTGTGGTCCAGTAGGTGAGGCACTTTATTTGCTATTTGGAAAAACAGAGTTCTATTGAATCTGCTGATAACTTTGCTGTGTAATCTGGGACAAACCACTTATCCCTTATTCATCCTGTTTTCTCATGGAGAGGTGAATGCTAAATGGTAGTTAAATGCTTCCTTTGTGATGTGCTTTGAAAACTGGGATTGAAAAAAGCTGCTATGTGAGATTACAGTAATGTGGTCTCTGTATGAACAGCAATATGGCTAGGTTTTGGTGTACAAAATTAAAATGTAGGAATATATTCTGAACATATTTCCTTTTTCGTGAATAACCATTTGATAAGCAAGAGAAAAAAGCCATTCTCTGAACTGAAAAGGTGTGATTTTTAACTAAACATTTACATAATCATGAAACATATCTCTGTTGCTTCTAACCCTAACAGGAAAAAAACAACAAAGTGTTTCTGAAACAGAATTATGGGAATGCCTTCAAAAATATATGAAAAAAAAAGTTTATTAATTAGCTCCCTTGCAAATAAAGCTAGAAAAAAAAGGGTTAGTACTGAAGTAAAGAAATGAGTACATATTTTAGGAGTTGAACACTATATCACAAATTTTTTGTGTTTTAGCTAGAAGAACAACACCCCTTTTGGAATATATTAAAAATAGAAAATTAGAAAAGCAGGTACGTTCAGACTTTTGCCTGAAGTTCAACATTTATGTTTCACATGGTTTTCCGTTGGACAATTTACAATTAATCATTTTGAACTCTTCAGAGAATACGAGAAGAGAAAAGAGAAGAACGAAGGCGGAGAGAATTGGAGAAGAAACGCCTGCGGGAGGAAGAGAAAAGGAAGCGCAGAGAAGAAGAAAGACGTAAGAGGAAAGAAGTGGAGAAGCAAAAGAAGATTTCTGAGAAAGAAATAAGAATCAAGGTACCTTAATGAAAAAAAGAATGTTCTTCTGTTGAAGTTATACAGATATATCCTTTGGTATCTCACTTAACACTGTTTACGCAGTGTGCTGCAGTACAGTGTGGAGATACCAAACCAGTTTTGACTGGAAGGGGAGGTAATTTAGGACTTTGACTAAGCAGTGTTGTTGAAAAGTGTGACTAGTTACCTTAGGTACAATGATGTGCTGATGCGGTTATGACAGGTAATTCAGATATCTTTATACGACACTGCTACATTCTGTGCCAACTTAACCTGACAAAACGAAATTGTTCTGTATACTTCTGTATGCCAGTCTGTCCCAAGTAGTACGTGTCACACATTTTATATATACTATTTCATGGAGGGAAGTATAATCCTGCTCTTTTTGTCTTGGAGGTTCTGCTTTTTATTTTATTGGGAATAACATTGAGCTCTGTTTTACTTTTTCTAAGAAATCATACACCATAATAATGTCTTTGTATATAAAACTTAGGAGCGAAGAGTAGGTAAGTGCTTTCTCCAGTATTCTCAGCATATTTAAATATGTGCAGTTCAATGCCTATTAATGACTGTCCCTCCTTAGGAAAAGTAAACTGCCCTCTTTAAATAACTTCTTAAATTTCATGCTTCATAAAATATATTCCTAGCATTTAAATATCTTCAATCTTAGTAGGTTTTTGATATATTTAATAAATTGTTAAAATGTCTGTTGCAACAGAGGAGAATAGTTTTACATCATAATATAAACAAATATTTCTTAGCTTCTTAAGAAGCCTGAAAAAGGAGATGAGCTGGCCAGTGAAAAGCACAAAGAAAAAGGTGAAGAAGCCGAGATTGAAGAAAACAAATGGGATAAATCACCTGGATCTGGGAGTATAAGATCCAAATCATTGGAGGGTTCACTAAAAGAACTTGAGGAAAAGTGAGTAATATTTATTTTTTAGGCTCCGAGTTAGATCCTAAATGTTTTCATTCGAAGGCTTAAACATGACGTAAGCGGTGCGTTGGCTGGCTGTTTTGTCAGCAAGGAACTGATTTCATTCTGTGTGTGAACAAGCCTCTCACTGTCCTTTTTGTAAAAGATGTTTAGTAACAGCTTACTGACCTCATGGCAGGGATGCAATTTGTTATTTGTGAAATGTTTTGAAATCCCAGATTGGAAGGATTTTTGCATGAAAAGCCCTTCAGGGTTTTATTGTTATTTCACCTGTTCCCCATGGAGAGTTCAGGCAAGGCCCTCCTTCCATTACTGATGTCAAAGACTAAATTGGCTAGGATGCCTTACTTTTCTGTCACACTTTCTTAATTTTTTCTGCAATAAACAGATACATGTGTTTGATAAATGGGAAAATGGCACAATAGTTAAGGTGTGAGTAACAGCCTTATGACAGATACTTGCAGAAGCAGTCGCTGTCTCCCACTGCCTTTTATGTTGCATTGTAATAGTAGCAACAAGAGATATAGCCCAGTTCTATAACTACTGTAGCCTAGAAATGTCTTACAGATGTTTTAAGCAGCAGATTTTCTCTCTTGTCCTTTGGCATGTATGTCCCACTGCAAGCAGGATTCACCCATAAGATACATACCTAAGAATAATATGCTACTGAGATAATTAATACTTTGCTCTTCAGCAGAGTTTTTCAGCCAAGCTCTCAAAAGTACTTTCCAAAGTGAAAGTGCTGAACCTGAGATGTCATGTATATGCACAACTTGTACATATGGACAAACCTGTGCATTTAAATAGTTCGTGTAAGGTGTTATGTACAAAGTATTACTGGAAGCTTTGGATTGTGCTCTAGGATCCTTGCAGGCTACCTGCCTATTTTTGAGTAGTTTAAATTTTACCTTTGTCCACGTAGGTTCTTTATTTTTATGAAAAGTATGCAGGAGCTGCAAATAAAGAAACTTTGAACACTGGAAACTAAAACCACTGAATTTGATAATTGAAAAAATGGTACACCAATAATATCTTACATGTGTTGTTCATCTTTTTTATCTCTGACTAAGGACTTCAAACATGGGCTCAGTGTTTCAGTATGTTAAGTATGTCCTGAAAGATGCTGAAAACTTCAATCTCCTGTTCTCTAATGGAAATTTAAAATATTCAGCACCTCTTTTGTGGATGTTCTTCAACAAAGGAACCACAGAACACTGTCAACAGAAACACTTGCGGGGGCAAGTCAGTTGATTGCTAATAAGGCTTTTCATGTATTAAGGTTTTGGTGGTGCCATGTAACATTTTTAATGTTAATCTTTTAAGTTTAATAAGGCATTAATGTAGATTTTCCAGGTGTAAAACAGAATTCTTGCAAAATGCTGGACAGCTTACCTGTCATTCAGGTTTTGTTGCTGACCTCCAGCTCCCCCTGAAATGGGGCCTCTGTCTTGGCAGCCCTGCCAATGCCCAAGTTCATGTCAGAGGCTGACAATTTTCACAGTTCTGTTCTTTAAAAGCAAAATAAAAGGTGATGTAGAAAGATACACTTTTATTCATATTAAACCATTCTAAATGAGAAGCATACCGCTATTTGATCACTACACCATTAGAAAATCTCCATCCTCTCTGATTCTGTCTGATAATTCCCAAAATGTGAGCAGACTGTCAAAAGCAACTTTACTGTTTCAACTTTAAATATTTATACATATCAATTATACAAAAAGAAACTACTGATATTTGCTCCTTTTAAAGTATAATCTATTCTGTGATCTTTCTTCATTGCTGCAGTTCTGGTTTATGTGAGAAGGACCCGCTCGCTGAACAGGAACAAAGTGAATTGTATTGGGCAGGCAGCAAAATGTTGCAAACTAATGGTCTTTATAATATGAACCCCTTGCAGCATAGCAGAAATTAAGTGTGTTGCGGGAGGGTAATGGTCTTTCACCAAATAAAATATGCAAAGGTAGGCTAAATTATTTGGATATGCAATAAACAAAAGCCTGGAACATAGGTACTCATTTTTGCAAGTGCCTTCAGCAAGTTGCAAGGTCAGTGAATATTTTTTTGTTAAATAAAGTAATAAAATTTACAAATTGATTCATGATACCTGCACAATTCCTTTGGGCCCTCAGTGTTCCCATTCAAGGGGAATGCTCACATACGTGAGTCACCTCAAGAACAGGCCACCAGAGCTAATCATGTAGCAGGTGTTTATATGAAAAATATTGGGGAACTATTTATGAGATTGCAGAGAAGGATAAAAGTTGAAGAATGGGCCTTCCAGAACAGTTGGACAAAAGTCCCATTTTTCTTGCAAAGCTTTGTCTGCTATTTTGAACTGTGAATGCATAGTGAAGGACCAGACACACATAGATGAGACATTCAGCAAAATTGCACATAACCCCTTTTTAATGAGGAAAAAAAACAGCCTTGCCTTACAACTGATCTAAATACTGTTGAAATCAAAGGAAGGCTTTGTATTATGTCCTTCAACATCTTTTTTTTTAATTGTTAATTGCTTGGATTGTTTTTATATATACTCATAGGTCACAAAATGATAGTGACAAAGAGCAAAGAGATTTGGAGAGAAGATTTCGAGAAAAAGAACCTGAAAGACAAAGGTATCGACTGGATGATGGCAGAAAGCATAGAGCTCACTATGAGTTTGACAAGTTTGTGAGAAGGAATGAAGAAGAGCTGAAATGGGGGAAAGGATACAACCAAGACAGAGGAAAGAAAGGGAACTACAACTACAGCTTCACTGTGGAGGCAGTAGACAAACTGGGTAAAGAGGACAAGTGTGATGACATGGCATCCAAAAAGGAGCGCATAAGAAATAAGGTTCTTTTATTCATTTAGGATAATCTTTCATTAGTTAAGTGTGCTTCAAGATCACAGGTTTTACTTTGCAAACTCAGCATAAAGATGCTTTTTCAAAAAAATAAAAAAGCAATTCTTTATTTCATTTTCAGTAAACCCAGACTTCTTTCTGTTATCAGAAGACAACAGCAGTTAAAATAAGTTAAGGTCACAGGTCTCTGCTCATTCATATTTACAATATATAGAAGGCATTCTGTCTTCCTTTCAACCCTAGCATTTTTAGAACGCTATTCTTGGAAGCCTTGTATTTTATGAGTGTTTTAAAAATTGTTAAACTTCTGATCTCTAATTAAATTTAAAAACTGTGGCATGCTAGTCTTTTAAAAATGTACTTCCATTACCCAGCTCATAAAGTAATTATCTTACGGATTGGCCAGGCATTGCTCAGTAGAGGAACTATAAGGACTTAAATAAAAGCTAATTCAGAGGCCATTGGATTTAGAAGGTGCGAATGTGAAAATTCTTCAATATTGTATACCTGCTGGTAGGAAAAGGCTGTCATTTGGTTAGGACAAATTATCCTCATGGTCATTGTCAAGGAAAGAGCAGGTGCAAAAGCAGTGCAGGTGGGGCCTGTAGCAGGGTGCGTAGTAGAGCCGTCCCTTATTGTCCCCCAGAGACATGGGCATCATTTTTGTCAAGACTGATTTCATGGATGTGCTAGGGTCTTTTCAGGAGGTGGCTCTCCTTGTCACCCTCATTCTCTCTCTCCTTTCTGATCCTAGATTTTCCACAAAAGATGACCAAAACTCTGTTTTGTGTAGAAATTTATTCTGCATATGAAATTCTTCTTTCAAACCAAGTGGCTGATCTGTGATGTGGGCTAAGGCTGCCGAGGAGTAAATTGGTCACGTGCAGAGTGAGTCTGTATGGAGTGTGCATAGAGCAAGTCCAGGTGGACCCACTCTGCGTGTCAAGTCACCTTGTGCAAACACAGAAAGCTGGGTGTGCCCTGCTTTTTGTTTGTGCGAAGGTCAGCTGGGCAGTCTGGGTGAGATTTATCTGCCTATACACGTGTGTGTAGCAATTTTCCGCGTACACCAATGGCTCAAACTGTAGAACAGTCAGAAAAATGGCTAATTCAGAAACAGGAAGATGTGAAGAACAATTTTCCTCATGCTTGCCATGCTGCTCTTGAAATCTGGTGAAATATCTGCAACCTTGGAACTGGACGGTGGGTCTTGGGGGCCTTTTGTCGAGCCTTAAGAAGCTGCCTTCTGTTTATTTCTTCCCATCTCGTCTCTTGTGGCTTGCTGAGTCTCTGGATTAGTCTACACCGCAAGTGCTAGATTTGTTCCCTAAACAAAATAAGCAATATCAGTAAAGTTTTTTTCAGTGTGGTGACTTTTCATTAGAGTATTTATCACATAGATAAGAGGTAGGGGCTGAAATTTCCAACTTACCTATAGAATTAACAACGCCAGCACAAGTTTTTAGGCAGAGGTCGAGCTTCTTTCTGCAGTTTGTAAAAATTAATCGGAAAATGGGAAGTTTCCAATGTAAGTAACAGTTATGCTAGCTTTCATCATGTAAACTGCAAGGTACAGAGCCTGTGATACGAAAAACTTTTTGGACCCTTCATCATAAACTTTCCAGTGGGCACTGCTTGTCATAGGGTAGTTTTGTGCAGCTGTTTGTGTTGTAGAAAGATGTGTTACGCATTTCATACCACACTACAAAGAACTAACTAGAATGATCTAGTTGTGTGGCCCAATAGTGAATCTTGATATCTAGTCTAAATAGATGGAGAGAAAAGTGGAGCAAAAAAGGCAAACGTGAAGTAAAAAGAAAGAAGGGAAAATGCATATTGGGAATAAGAAAAAAGAAGGAAAAAACAAAAGACCAGAATGACTTCAAGTTATGAAGGCAATTGAAAATTAATATAGTTTGATGTAGGACAATTTCAGTGCTCTGCCGCTGTCTTAAAACAGGCTGTTTAATTTTGTTTGCTAAACTTAACACAAGATTTTGGTCAAAAAGCTCAGGTTTTGGTGAGCGGATCACTTCATAACATAAAAACTGGTATTTGTGAAAGTATAATACTCTTACTAGGAAAAGACTTTTTAAGCAGAGTTTCTAAGCATTATGTTTCATTGTTGAAATGTCAAGAATAAAAAGTGCTCTCAAGAGCTATGGAACATCACCATTTGCAAGTTTGAGGTGTAAACTGGCCCCTTCCATTTTGTGGTGATCAAATCAGCGTGTGTATGACTGGGTCCCTCACAAAGCCTGCACGTGTGCAAATTGTACTTAATTTGTCATCAGTGGGTGAATTCCTGTGCTCTCATACTCAGTATGGAATGAACAATGAAGCAGAGCAATAACTGCTATTTTATTTTGATATATATAATGAAAATGCGCATTCCATGTCTAAATTGTGGTGGTGATTCATGGCTTGAAGTAGCAGTGCACACATATCAATTGGTCAAGTTCAGCTGAGGGTAATTTTCTAGCTGCTACCTGCTAAACTGTTCTCTGGTTTATCTTATTATTTTATGTTTATATTTAGTATTTGTCATTTATCTACAGAGTTGCAAGTGCACAGGCTATTGTTCTTCCCAGTTGATGCTGGTGAAGGCAACAACGCATTTCTGAATTTTACCTGTAATAGTGTGTTTGATAATTGTCTGCAGTATTTCTCCTTGTTTACATCTAATGTATCATAGGATCTTTAATTTTTATAGCTTTCTTCATTTTTTCAGAATGCTTGGCTCCCAAGAATAGTGTTATAAACAAGACAGATATTAAATACTCAGTCAATTTTCATTACACTCCATTTTTTCCTGGGTCTTAGTGAAATATAAAGTCATTTAACACAAAATCTACTTTCTTCACAAACATTCATCACTTTCAAATCCCACTTCTGTATCCCACACAGGTTTCTGAGAGTGTTAACCACATCTCCTTCCTTCTAGGATCGCCCAGCCATGCAGCTGTACCAGCCAGGAGCTCGCATTCGAACGCATATGGGATCTACAAGTAAAACCTATGACTGCAGTGGGAAATCCTTTGAAGATGTTCCTGATAAAAAGTATGAGGCAGATAATTCAGCTGGAGGTGGTTCTGAGAAGAGTGAAGAAGCAGAATAAAACAAACTGGAGAAAAGACTTGTGAAAAGGGATGAACTTAAGATTCAGTGTCCTCACAAAAAATCCATAGGGCTGTTTCAGAACTCCACAGGCGATTGCACCAACAAAATTACAGCAGCTCGGCCTCCTACTTTCTGTAAAATAAAGAGTGACTGGAGACATAAAGTATCTTACAGCAAAGGAATATAGTTGCTTTTTTACAAAAAGCACAGCAAACACTATTTGCCTAATTTAAATGCAGTTCAATATTTTATTAGATTTACCGTGAAACAGAAAACCTCTAATAGTTTTAAAGGAGTATTTCTATAAGACTTTTCAGAAGCTATTTCATCTTTTCAAGTCTAAAGAAATGAAATGTAATTTGCATCAGTTTGAAATCTGAGGCACTTTAAATGTGTTTGGTGCATGACATGGGGGTCATGGGACCCGTTCCTGCACATGGCAGCGGCAGGGGCTGCTGCAGGGAGTTACAGTCGGAGTCTGTGGGACCGGCCCTGGGAGGAAGCTCTGAAGTCAGTAGCATTGGCAGGATAAAGGCCCACAGTTTGCACAGTTGTGAGGAGTGTCCGTTGGTATCTGTACCTCATTGTGTTTACATTGTTTTTCAATTAACTATAGTGTCACATAAGTGTTAGTAAAGCTACAAGTGTGTTGTTAGAGTGTTTATAATTTTCTGAGCCACATTTGCCTTTTTTGTTTTAATAGATTCTTGTGCTTAAAACAGAAAAAAGCTAACGCAAACCTCAGCACTTAATATATCTGGTTTTAATAAATTAGCTGTTTTTTATGTTTTTGACACTGACTTTTAAAAAAAGTGGTTGTACAGTGATGACTTTTTATATGCTAATGTTTCATACAAGTTGCAGTTGCAGGATTTGGAAAATGTATGATACATGAATGTTCTGCAGTTCTATGTGTTAAAAAAATAAACACACATGAATGTCAACTGCAAACTACCGTTCTGTAAGATCTAGGCCAAATTCTGCTCTCTGATAAAGGCACATATATGTGTGTGTGCGTCTGTGTGTATCTTCCATTGGTTTCAATGATGGCCACGTGTTTATGGAAGGGCCGAACATGTTCATCTGTCTTTCATGGCTGAAAATTTCTCAGTTGTCTGAAACTGAGACCTGCTTTGTCGCTGGAGTTGAATAGTAAGATATTAATTTATTTTTACATCCTCTTTGAACATTTTATTATTAAGCATAACATCTAATTGTTCTAGACTGAAAAATTATTTATTGTATTTTCCCAGATACTAAGCATTAAATAGAATAAAAGCAAATAAATTTTGACTGTGATTTTGAGACTTGCTGTGCAATTTTTTCATCTGTTACTCTAGAAAAATTAAGTAAGATGCTATTCTACTTGGCATTCTTCCAGAGTAGATAGAAATACAACTGAGAAGAATTTTAATACCAAACTACGTAAGTGAGCTGCCAGCTAAAATTACTTCAAGCTGAAGTGAAACTGCTGATGGAGAATCATGTGGGTTTAGCTCCATCTAAAGTCTGTCTTGTTTACCAAATTTATCCTGACTGCAGAGAAAGGATTTTGTCTTTGCGTCCTGTCTGAGTCAGGTGGTGTTAGCACGGGGCAGGCTTTCCCCTTGATGAAGAAGCCCGGCTTTGTCCCAGGAGAAGGAGACTTGCTGGGAAAGTTCTCCTGCAGTAGAGCTGGACAGGGCTGAGATCTTCACCAGATGAAGGTCTTCTCAAAAGCAAGTATTTCCCACCCATCTGGATGCCCAGGGGAGGCTGGAGGAGGGGGTCTCACCTGTGAGAGGGATCTGCAGGACCCAGACAAGCAGCGATTTTGCACATCCTCACAAATTCAAGCTTGGTGTCTTGGCCAAGGGTGGCTTTCAGGCTCCTCCCCCACCTTCACCTGAGTGGCTAGGTTTTCAGTAAGCACCTCTTCATAGCATTATAGGTAATTAACGAAACAGTTTATTTAGCAGTGATTTTCCATGTGGGGCTTCTGATTTTCCATCTCTTTGAAGTTATCAGAGACTGGACATCAAACCTCAGCTCAGTAAAAACTCAAAGTTTAAACATCTGTGCCCATCAGGTCAAGCTGCCATGCTCTCACTGACCGCCATTCTTGCAGTCCGTTTGTTCACTTATTTTTCTTACTTGTGAATGCAGTGTCCTGCATGGGGTGTGCAGAGCCTGGCCTTTCTTCGGTATTCACGTGGAAGGAATATGCAGGACGTTCATATTCAGATGTGGAGAGTGCGCTAGTCAGCAGCTGCACCATGGCTACACCCTGAGCTGCATCCCGAGGAGCCGCCGCTGCCTGAGGGCTTGGCAGCAATACTTGAGGAACACTTGGGACAACCTCTCTTATTCAGCAGGTAACAGCATCTATTCCTTCCACATCTGAGGGGCCCCGCAGAAGGTACCGGCCACTACCAGCAGGATCCCAGCATTTGTAGCTGTGCAGCACCTGCCGTGACAAGCTCAGGAGGGACGGGAGCAGCGAGACAGTGCTGGGAGCACCAGGAGACCAGGGTGCAAGGGAGCACTGCCTGCAGGGTCTCTGCTACAGCGTGACCCCACGGAGGGGAGAAATGCCCCTGCTGAGCTTCTCTCAGTGCTGATGGCCATCTCAGGCAGTGCCAGCAGGACAGCCTGTGCCTGTGGGAGCAGCGATTGGGTTTGGGATGGGCTTGTACCTGTAGGGAAGACTGCACCCCTCACCTGAGCGGGGCTGGGGAGGCACTGCCCACAGGAAATGAACGTGTACCTTGTGGTAATGCTGCAAAATACACTGGCCTGAGCAGCAGAATGCATTTGCAAGTCTGTGCCTCAATCTCTCCTTCACAGGGGGTGCAGCCAGCTGCTCGGCGCTTGCTTGATCTTCTACGCTTCTCTGGATGACACAGAATAAATGCAGGTTCGCAGCCTGTCTTTGTGCAAACTCAGCGTGGTGTGAGAGCTTTATTGCCACAATAGTAACTTTGTTTTGCAAATTCAGCTTTGCTGAAAGTAGATACAGCACCCCTGAGAAGAAGGAATTGTGTCTGGTTACGTGGCAGCTGACTGTGGTGCCATCTGTTTTCTTGCTTTTAAAATAAATTTAATAAAAAAATTCACCAGCTTGATAGCTTCCCTTGAATGTCTGTTGCTCTGTTTCTTATTGAGTCCTCAGGTCATCAACTTTTTGCAATATAGAGATCACCCTGTCCATCAAACTGGAATTGGGCTCCATTCTGTCATGAACTATTGTGTTACAGAAAACTGATGTGAAACAAATATTCAGTAAAAAAATCTGCATTTGTGCCTGTCGCAGTTTTAAAGAGAACCTTATTCAACTCCAAAACATCATTCTGACAACTTCACATGCAATTTTTAAACAAACCCTGCTGCTTCTTTTCATTTAAAATGGAATGTCTGTAAGTTGTTTCCAGAGAGTCTGTGGAGGTCAATGGCTCACCTCTCCAGCCACGGTAAGCCAGCGCTGCTCTTCGTGCTGCAGGGAGTTACTCCGTGAGCCTCTGTTTGCGGCATGACTCCCAAATGGCCCAAAGGTGTGAATTGTTAACATGGCAAAAAACACCGAGTACGTAAAAAATTATATTGAACTCCAAAATAAAGCATGCTTAAACAGGAAAAAAACCCACAACCCTAATTTAGTACTCCCTCCCCAAGCTGATATAATTCTGAATGTTAAAAATCAGCTGGAAACGTGACTAGCAAGTTGGTGGTGCTGTCTGAGTCTTAAATGGTGAGAGGAGAAACTTAAAATTCTCAACTGATTATTTATGTCTTTCATTGGACAGAAAGAACATGTGAAACAAATGGGAAACCTATTGAGCTTTATCTGATAATTTCTAGGTGACTTAAAATAATGCAGTTTTCTCTGCATCCGCTTTGCCTTATCACTGAAGTTCATCAGCTTCTTGAAGACTGAAAATGTCATCTTCTTACCAAGAGCTTGTTTATCTTTTAACAGTTTAACTGTCTCACAAACCTCTTTACTGGTGCATAACTAAAAAAATACACGTTTTCCAGGTATATTTTGTGGTTTACACTTCATTTGGCCACATCCTGATCTCACCAAACATGTCTCACTTGCATATCTCATCTACAACTATGTCAATACTATCAGAGGCTCATTACTGTTACATATATAAACACTGCAGTGTTTTGATTCGAAGTGACACAAGCACAGAAGACGTCAGACTGCAGTTGTGTATGCACTGTTCTTTGCCCAATTCCAACTAGCAGACTTGATTAGAAAAATGAAATACTCTCCAAAAGAGCAAAGACTAACTTCAGAGGGGGTTTAGATGCTGGTACAAAAATGGCATATGGACTTATGGTCCATGCAGGACCCATAATTGCCTCCCAGCATGTGCAGAACGCAGGAGATACAAGAAGATGCACGAGAGGGTTTTTTTGCTGTTTAAAAATGTTTATATATTCTAAAGTAAAATATGAATATTCTGCATAAAACTTGCAGGATTTTGCTTGTTTGTTTAAATCAAGATCTCTGTTGCCAGCTTTTGTGAACAGAGAAAAAAGTAATGCTAGAAGCATCCAGGGGGCTAGACAGAGGGTTTAGGTTATCCACAGCATGAAAGACCTGGTCTGTTACTACTGATCTGTGCCCAGGTCTGTCTTGTGCTGCTTTCCATCTCTGCTTACCACAGAAATGTGGATCATTCTGCTGAATGAGACTGAAGTGAAGTTCCACCTCATGTTGTTTCTTAACAATTAACTTGAATACGAGCACCAATATCTGACATTACCTGCTGGAACTTCTTGCATGTTTTTGACAGCTGTTGAAGGTCATCAGCATCTAGAAATGACAGTATGTGTATAATCACATTCTTGGGCATTCAGATGACGAAATTGTAATGCCTCTGACATGAATTAACTGTGGACTCCAGCATCGTGTTGCCAAAGACATTCCTCACCAGCTCTGTGGTAGAAGAAAAGGACAAGACAGAGAAGAATAAACACAAAATAATCCTCACGTAACCCGATTATTTTAAAACGTGATCATGAATGCAAAAAAACCTAGGCTAGGAATATGCCAGTACTTCAGTGTTAGGAGGAAAGAAGTTGGGAGAGCTTGGGACTCTAGAAGAGACAGCAGATCGGGCCATTGCTATGTATGTCGATGAGA